AAAAATATTTAAAGTAAATTTTTCTTACCAAGTAAAAATTGTGTAATCTTAAAAAAAAGTTTTTAAGAAGTTTTGACACACTTATTTTGAAACTGACTCAGTAAAATATTTTAGATAGAGGAAAAGTGATTTTTCAACTGACTCAAAAAAAATAATAATAATTTTTATCCCTCAGAAATTAATTTGTTTTGTGCAGAAGATATTGTCATCCTTACAAAAATTCCTAGACTCAATAAAAATAAAAAGTCTTCGGAGTCTTCGCTTCACTTCAAAAAACTGCGTAGGGGTGAGCGTGAATTTTATCGCCGAAACTTCTTGATGCCCTTCTTTGCTTTTCTCGATCCGAATAAATTTTCGAATATCGATTGAATTTAATCATCCTATTTGTCATTCATCAAAACAAAAAAATAATCCAAAAAAAATAATAAATGGGTTTGAACTCATGTCCAACAATTTCCTCCTTTTTGATAATGACAAACATAGTTGAGAAAAAGCAAAGAAAGAGTTCAAGAAATACTTCCCTTAATTGATTCCCCCTGCAAGGTTAGAGAAGTGCAGTAAAAAAAACTTAATCGGAGTAATAAGCAGAAAAACAATTTTGAAAACAAAGTTTTCTCAATGATCCTTCCTTCCCTCTTTTGGCATTATCAACCGATAACCTTCCCCCTTAATTGATGCCGGGATTTTGAAGGATAGTAAAAAAATTTTGTAAGAGTTTTCTTAAAAAAAGAGAACTTCTAACACGAATTGCCACAAAGGGACAATATGTTCTAAAAGAGAACCGTATTAGCAACATCATCATCCACCAAAAGAGTTATAACAACAATAGCAAATAACAATGTATCATAAAAAGTTAAGACAGAAGAGAAAATAATCAAAGAGAGTTCGCCGGACGAGCTCCTCCGCTGAAGCTGTGACGCGGGCCACGGTAGGAGCGGGAATGCTCGAAACGAGTCATCCTCTCGTTGAGCTGGCGAACGTCGTCTCGGATGCAGGTGAGAGTATCAAAGATCCTCTTCACCCAAGAAGGTTCTGGTGCTTCTTCTCTCGGACGAGTCTTGCGTTGACGATTGACGCGTTCCGTGGCTCGACTTCCTCCGGCTTGAGATGACTCAGCTTGATTCTCATTTTGGCTTTCTTCTTCTTCTTCGGCGACTATCAGGTCCAGATTAGGTGCAGCATCGCTCTCCTCTCGATACACGATCCGGGAAAACTTGGCTTCAGTGATGAAACAAGTCTTCTTGACCGGCACCTGAGTGTCCCGAGTGAAGTCTATTTTGCAATGAGCAAGGATATGCATAAAGGGGATGGCAAAACGGAGATGGGAAAAACGAGTTCCATCGCTAAGTGCAACGATAAAGAAGTGAACCCAATCAAATTTGACATCGTTCAACAGGACGTGAAACAAACGAATATCGTCCTTGTTGACAACGCCATGGTTCGAATCACGAGGCAACAAAACATATGAGAAGATGTATTGTTGGACGCGTTGAATTAAAGTGAGATTAATGACACTCGGGTTGCTAGAGTTTCTAAACTTGAGGTCACGATGATCTAACCCGAGTTGTCGCCAAATTGCCTCATCTTGGAATGTTTCATCCAAGTTTTCAATAATTTCACTGCGACGAAGGCCAAACAAGGAAGTCAAACCGGCACCGTCAATGAAAACGGTTTTGCCGTCAACGTAGGAAATGAGAGATGGCGAACCTCCCTTAGTGGTACGAAGATTTGCATAAAATTGACGTATAAGATTTGGACAGAAAAATTCATACGTCAAATGAATGAAACGAAGCAAACCTTGCTAAAGAAACATAGACTTACTCGGGGCATAGGTCGCCGATTTGAAGAGGTCCTTGCTCACGATCTTGGGAGAGACGATCTCCTTCGTGAGGAAGATGTTGTGGAACCTCTCGACTGAAGCTCCAGTGTTGAAGGCGAGACCTGTTTGAATGTGAATATACTTGCTCCCTTCACGACGCCATGGCCTCTCATTCTCCTCTGCCACGGTTTCTTGACCCGAGGAAGCGTTCTTGCACCTTGGCATCTTCCCTCTTTGAAATTGATGAAATTTGGTGAAAAGATTGAAGGAATTTGTGAAGAAATAGAAGAAGAAGACCTAGGGTTTCGTCGCCTCGGTCTAATTTTCTGAGAGAAGTGGCGAGGAAGACGAAGCCAGGTCGGTTTATTAAACCCAAAAAAATTGAATAATAATCGATTAATCAAAGTGATTTAATCGATTAAGGGTGAGGCAGAACCGAAGGAGTTTGCGCAGAAGGCTAATAATCGATTAAACAAGGGCTATTAATCGATTAGTTTAGACAGAGGCGTCTAATCGATTTCTCTTTGAGGAGTAATCGATTAAAACAAATTTGACAGGAAAAAAAACATCAGATTCAAATCAGTTTGATGCCACGGGCCAAGATACCTGAAAGGAACTCAATTGTGACATCTCCCTTTTGGACGTGATCTCGTATGAAGTGATGCCTAATTTCTATGTGTTTAGTCCTCGAGTGAAGAACAGGGTTCTTCGTTAGACTGATAGCGCTCATATTGTCACACCTAATAGGGATGTGATCAAGTATGAGGCCGAAATCCACTAGTTATTGTTTTAGCCAAAGAATTTGGGCACAACAACTTCCCGCTGCGACATATTCCGCTTCGGTGGTGGAAAGTGCAACACTAACCTGTTTCTTACTAAACCACGAGATTAACGAATGACCGAATAAGTGGCAAGTACCGCTGGTACTTTTCCTATCGAGTTTGCAACCTGCAAAATCCGAGTCGGAATAGCCAAC